GGCATTCCTGCTTTGGTTTTCATTGGAATAGATGGCAAAGTCATTAGTGTAAATGGGAAGTTTATGGTCTCCTCATATGGTGCAGAAGCTTTCCCATTTACTGAATCAAGGATAAGAGAACTTGAAGCAGCTCTGAGAAAGGAGGGAGAGGCTTTGCCTCAACAGGTTGAGGATGTGAAGCATGAACATGTGCTGAAATTGGATATGGCCAAAGCATATGTATGTGATTCCTGTAAAAAGCAAGGGAAATTCTGGACATTCTCTTGTGATGTCTGTGACTATGACCTTCACCCAAGTTGTCTAGAAAAGGTCAACGAGGACTTAAGTTGATAGGGAATAGTAACACTCAAGTTTGTAACCTGTTATATTTTCTTGGTGATGGAATTAAATTAAAGTTGTAATACCTAGGAAACTTCAACACTATATACATATATTTTATTTCCTATTGGTATGTTGCTAAAACCTGCCATTTGAAATTAAGAGTGATTTAAATCAGGGGAGTTTTGTAAGGGAATAGTCTGTGAATAGAATTACCGTGTGTTAAGAAAGTGTAGGCACACATTTTTATTCCTATTAGATTGTTATCATTTTCGTCCTATTACACTTTTTTTTTCTTTCCCGTTTTTAATCCTATAACTTTTTATTTTTTTTAGTTCCTATAGAATTATAATGTTTTAATATAGATTCCTTTTATGTTGAATTTTATTCATTTTAGTCTCTCATAATTAAGGAAATATCATACCTAATTTTCAATCTATTAGTCCTGTCATCGCTTTTCAGAGACCAAGATCAAAATGAAACAATATATATATATATATAACCAAAATAGGAAAAAAAAATTAGAGAAACAAGGCGAAAATATCTTTATATAAAAAATCAATGGCTAAATTACTCTTTTATCTCATTTTGTTTAATTGGTTTAATTTAGTCTCTTATTAAAAGGTTTAATTTCATTTCAATTTTTAAGAATAATGCAATATAATCCTTTCTGTTTAATTGAAATTAACGACATTGAATTTTTATAAATGTGGTACAACATAAAAATGACATACAAAAAAATTAGCATTCTAATTGGTCGAAAGATGGCATATCATTTTAATCGTTTAAAAAAAATTAAGAGATCGATTCGATTTTTTTTGTCATATAGACTAAATTGGATTAGTTAAATAAAGTGAAGGACTAAATGAGTAATTTAAAAATTCAGTCAAAATAAAAATTAATAGTAGGAGTAACGTAATAAAGAAAAATATAAATAAAGTAAACCAAAATTAAATAATTTTATGAATGCTTAATTTTTAATTGATTTAAATCGAATAACTTGTTCGAAGAGTATTATAGTTGTGGTATAAAATTTGGGCCTGAGAGATTTTTTTTAACCATTTAATTTCCTTTTACTTTTTGGTGTGAATAATAGAAACATTATGTGTATTATTAATTAATAAATTAATGAAACAATTAATTTATGATAACACATAAATTGGTGCGAGAATGAGCTAGGTTTGTGTCAAACTAAATATTATTTAGGATATATTTGCACAATTTTCTATGAAGACTTTTAGAATAGAAAAATAAGAAAAAGAAATTAAGTTAAAATTAATTTATATATAAGTTAATTTTTAGAAGTTCTATCTTATTAACTTCTTCAAAATCATATTTTAAATTTTGACATAAACAAGTTTCAATTTATAAAGAAATTTATTTTAATTTTTCTTCCTATTTTTCTCTCCAAGTAAAAATTTATAAAACATATCCTTAGTTAGTAGATTTCATTTCCAAGTAGCATGAAATCAAAGATAGCCCGCAAACTTTGGTTATTCTCTCGTGAGATAGACAAGATTATAATAGAATAAAACAATCTGTGGTCGTTACATTCGGGAAAAAGAAGCTCAAAATAGTTGAAATAAACCCAAAATTGGTTGCTACTTACATACGGGAAATTGGTTATTAACTATTCCATTTGTCGTTTGAAGTTTCGATTACCAAAAAAAACAAGAACAACAACAAACTAACAAAGTAAACACGTCTCAAGTCCTATGCTGAGGGAGGAACAGAGAAGATTCACAAGTAACAAGTTAACCAATATTTTTCCCAACCAAGGTCTTTGATTCATCAAAGCAACTTGAGGAATTTCTGGGTGTAACAATTTGGAAACACATATAAAGGCAAAAAAACAAGGAACTTTAGATGGTCTCTTTCAAAGGGAGAGGAGATAAGACTTTTTGGTCTTGAGGGTCCCTTTAGTTTGGTTTATGTTCATTGAAGGAGAAGAATAAGATTGCATTAAGGCAAAGAGAGTAATGTGGTTGTCAAAGAATCAGTCAGAGAAGAAGGATGGTGTGAATGGATTAGTAGCAGTGGCAATAGATAAAGAAAAAGGAAGCCAAAATGCACTTAAATGGGCCGTTGACAATCTCCTCATCAGAAGTGCAACTGTAATTCTCATCCATGTCAAGCTTCTTGCACCTACTCTATCATCATCACCTTCGCTTTTCGCCCCAAGTAAGTATCATAAACCCCCTGTACATAAAGTCTTACACTCTTCATGCCATATCAAATTGGCATTAACGATAGCATCAAATATCAATGCCTCCTCGCAACATTTGTGATTTCTCATTTCTTTGGTTGTGTTATGGCAGGGATAAGTGCTCTCCTTGGTGATGATAGTTCACAGTTAAACAAAGAACCTGAAGGCCAAAACAAAAATGTTTTCCTTCCATATCGAGTCTTCTGCACACGGAAAGATGTAAGTTGTTTTTCCTTGCAAGATACTCCTCTGGTCCTTTTTATAAGAAACAAATAACAGTGTATTATATACTATCATTTGTTTCTTATAAAAAAAGACCAGAGGTAGTACATATTAGTGGAAATGGTAACAAATATGTTGGATGGACCATAGATTCAATGCAAGGACGTCCTACTAGAAGATGTAGATATATCAAAAGCCTTAATTGAATATGCTGCTCAGGCAGGAATTGAGCATCTGGTTCTTGGCTCCTCAACAAAAACCGGTTTGCTCAAGTATGCAACTCTCTAAGTAACATTGTCATCTTGCAAATTTTACATCAAGCTTCTAGTTCTCTACCTTCCATTCTGATAACACAAGCAAGTTAATATGTTGGTTTAAGTATCCACAATAACGAATGAGATCATTAGCAACCTAAAAAATTGTGTCATGTTCCACATGATATGTGCAACAGCTCAAGACTTATCCAATCATTTCAACTTGTGGATACTTTTACTTCCCTAGCTGTATGAATTAAGCATAATAGAAGCCTGAATTTTTAGCTTGGATGTGTCAGTACATATTCCATTTTTTAAAGTTTTTTTCTTCTCATCATCAGAAGATTCAAGGTGTCGGATATTCCAGGAATAGTTTCGAAAGGGGCACCGGATTTCTGTACAGTCTATGTTATTTCTAAAAGTAAGATTCAATCAATGCGATCGGCTTCTCGTCCTGCTCCGGCCGTTGTCCCTAACGAGACATATCGAGCTAGTGTCAGGTCAGACAATTCAGAACCACATTTGCCAATGGCCAGAAGCATGAGAGGTTAGATTCATCCCTTCAAGAACCACACATCTATGTGTATATATATACATATTGTCAATATGCTGATCCCTAAGAAATGTGGTTTCTATTAGAACAAGAAACGCATTTCTTTGATGCTGCACCAGCACCACCGCGTAGATCAAACGATGGAACAGATTCATTCAGGTCAGTGACATTACATACATGCTACTTAGCAAATTTTTATAAACTAGTTCTTCTGTTTGGATACAGGCTTAAAAGAGTTTTTCATAACTTCTCTACCAAAAATAAAGAATTTTTTCAATAGCATTTGTTTGAACATTTGAAAATTGAATGCTACTCAGGTCACCATTCACTAGGAAAGGTTACACTGGAAGACAATATGGGGACACTGCCAAGCCAGATACTGACATATCCTTTGTAAGCTCTGGAAGGCCAAGCACAGAACGCTTGTTCCCTTCGTTATATAACTCAGATACAGGAATACCCAACCCTCGGCTATCATATAGCTCAGAATCTGATTTAAACTTCAGCTTTGAGTCAATGCAGTATGGAAGGAAGTCTATGGAAATAAGCACTCCTCCTGAATTCTCATCTCTCTCATTTGAGAGTGAGAGGCATTCATCTTCTACATCACAAGCCGTGGTAAGGGAAGTTGACAGGATGGATCTGTATGGTTTGAAAAACATTTTTTTTCCAAATTATTAAAAAATCTCATCTTATTTTCACTGTTTTGATTTTTGTCTTTATTCTACAAATCTTTTAAAATGGGAAATAAAGTGAAAATGAGGTCACATTTTTTGTAATTTTATGTTTACTCAAACCAAACATGTCATGCATTGGTATTTTTGGACTGCCTGTGTATGGATTTGTAGTTCCTGCAGTGATAAGGAGTTCAAGAGAATTCCATGATTTGGCACAATTTGTCAGACAAAAGATGATTGTTTTTTAAATTCTTGAAGTTGCTGCAATTGTAGGATGATATGGAGGCTGAAATGAGAAGATTAAAGTTGGAGCTGAAGCAAACAATGGAAATGTATAACACAGCCTGTAAAGAAGCACTCACAGCACAGCAGAAGGTATGAATGAATTAATAACAGGTTTATTTATGTTTATCTCTAGAAAAGGTTAATAATGTGTGACATGCTATGCTTGCATGCATTAATGCATGACAGGCAGTGGAACTTCAGCAGTGGAAATTAGAGGAAGAGAGGAGATTGGAAGAGGCAAGGCTGGCTGAGGAAGCAGCATTGGCTATTGCAGAAAAGGAGAAAGCCAAGTCTAAAGCAGCCATTGAGGCTGCTGAAGCACAGAAGAGGATAGCAGAACTTGAAGCACAGAAGAGACTCAATGCAGAAATGAAAGCACTTAAAGAATCAGAAGAGAAAAAAAAAGTACTTGATGCTTTGGTAAATGTAGATATCAGGTATAGAAAATACCCAATTGAGGATATTGAAGCTGCAACAAATTTTTTTTCAGCATCCCTCAAAATTGGAGAAGGGGGATATGGTCCAGTTTTTAAGTGCCATTTGGATCACACACCTGTTGCAGTCAAGGTTCTACGCCCTGATGCAGCACAAGGAAGATTACAGTTTAACCGAGAGGTAAGCATAGAAACAAAACACTACATTTGGACACCTTACAAACTTAACTAAATGATTGGAAATTTTGATTTCTCTTCAGTATGAGAAAATATCTTTTATTTTCAATCTTTGTTTTATTAATAATTACAAACTAGTCACTTTGTTTTCAATCTTTAAAAGATTTCACGTGTAGTCACTTATTGGTATAAAGATTTTTACACAATTAACCAATCAGAAATCATCAATAGTATTACGTTTAAGATAGTTATCACACAAGTCTACAAACTATCATACATAACAATCAGTAACTGAATGACCGTTTTACACTGTCAGTGCATTTTAATTAATTTCTTGCAAAAATAGGAAAGGAAAACAAAAAATGTTTTCTTAAACCAATCAGTATCACTCAAGTGCTCAAGTCATACTAGGTAAAAAGGGCAAAGACATTTGTATACTATGTTTAGCTGAGCTGATTGCATGCAATGCACATTACAGGTTGAGGTGTTGAGCTGCATACGGCATCCAAACATGGTTCTCCTCCTAGGAGCATGTCCAGAATATGGATGTCTGGTGTATGAGTACATGGCAAATGGAAGCTTAGAAGATTGCCTTTTTCGACGAGGCAACACTCCCCCACTTAGTTGGCAGCTAAGGTTCAAAATAGCAGCTGAAATAGGCACAGGATTGTTGTTCCTGCACCAGACAAAACCAGAACCTCTGGTGCACAGGGACTTAAAACCAGCCAACATATTGCTTGACAGAAACTATGTGGCCAAGATCAGCGATGTAGGTCTGGCCAGGCTAGTTCCACCATCTGTGGCGGACACCGTGACGCAGTATCGCATGACATCGACGGCAGGAACCTTCTGCTACATAGATCCTGAGTACCAGCAGACAGGTATGCTAGGAGTAAAGTCAGACATATACTCCCTTGGCATCATTTTTTTGCAAATTTTGACAGCAAAGGCACCAATGGGTTTGACCCATCAAGTTCAAAAGGCCATTGAGAAGGGAACTTTTGGTGACATGTTGGATCCATCACTCACTGACTGGCCTGTGGACGAGGCCTTGAAGTTGGCTAAGTTGGGAGTGCAGTGTGCCGAGTTAAGGCGCAAAGACAGACCTGATCTTGCCAAGGTTATCCTACCAGAACTCAACAGGCTAAGAAACCTTGCTGAAGATGACAATCTTCTTTCAGTTTTGGGTGACAAAAAAACTGTCAAGCATGAGAGACAAGTTTCTGTGCAGTTGGTAAGTTACTATGTTGTTTCTGTACACATGTTTGGATAAACATCTTCATAAATATTTGTAAGAGAAGAAAATATGAAAATAAAATAAAATAAACTTTTGCATAAATTAATTAGCTTCTCCAAAAAAAAAAAAAAAATCTTTTGCAACTTATATATAAGTTAATTTTATGTTATGAAGAAGTTTTTTTTTTATCTAGATCATAGACCTTTTTTATAAAAACAATCTTATTCAAATTAGATAGAATTATAATGAATAATAAAGTTTTCTCTCTCTTTTTTTATGTGTAGTTGACACAATTGTATATTTTATTTTATTTTTCCTTCTTATTTTCTTCTTCTATGGGTAATTCTAGAAAAAATTATCCAAACACTTCACAAGTTACTTCCTGTCTTGAGGTTGTTATGTATACCATGTTAACATGATCATTGTGCCTCATTTTTCTGTTTTCTTTTTTCAGGATGGAGGGTGCCCTCCATTTCATCACTCAGGCGCAGACTCGTCAGTCAATTACTGGACAACATCCAGTTGAACTAAAGAACAAAATAGGTTCAATTGATTCATTTTCAGGATTAAGTGTAAAATACTTAGGAGGATTGATGTTAGCATGCTTGATTTTCTCATTGTGCCCCCCTCCTTTATTCAAATTTAGATTGCACCAAAAGTGTAGCCCTTTTTGAGCTAGTTTTTCACCATGCAATAGAAAGTGGGGTCGATGCCTAATACGGTCCTAAACAAAAGGATAATTCATGTATAGAAATACAATATTTTTACGATACCAATCCATGTTGTATTTTTGTATAGCTATACAGGTCGTTAATTAATAAAACTAACTATATTTGAAGAAAATGATAATCCAACATGAGAAATACTTTATGTGTGTTTAAATTAGGAGTTTAATGGTTATGGTTTAATCGATGAGAAATTACCGAATTTTTAAAATAGTAAATGTACATGATGATTTGTTATTAAATAAGTGTAATGTTGGGATACAAACAAGTCTTACATCAATAAAATAGGAGAAAAAATAACAACTTATAAAACACATACATACTCCGATGCTAAAGAAGTCTTTTGGGTGATGATTAAAAAGCAAAATCGTGAGGACTTAGACTCAAAGCGGACAATATCTCATTATTGTGGACTATGCTTGTGTAATAACCTTATAAAAATAACCCTCATAAAAATATCTCCTTAGACAAATACCATAAAATAACCTCAACTCTGATATCAGAGCTGCAAGGTTGAATGAGGTAAAAACCCTTAGGTCCCTTGTTTAAGGGGATGATTGTTGAGATACAAACAAGTCTCATCTTATAAAATAAGAGAAAAAATAACAACTTATAAAGCACACATACTTTAATGTTAGAGAGGCTTAAAAAGCAAAACCATGAGGACTTAAATCCAAAACGGATAATATGCTTATGTAATAACCTTATAAAAATAACTTTCATAAAAATATTCTCTCAAACAAATACCATAAAATAATCGCAACATGTAATATTGAATAATTGACATCGTTGATGCATGAGATATTTTCAAAATAAATAAAAAATTATGTCAACGAATGAAAATGAGTCTGTCCATAAAGTGTGTATGAATAAGAAATTATTTTCTTTCGCCACATAACTTATTTTCTCTAAATTAATGTATTTTAAAGAAACAATAACATTTTTTTTTATCTTTTTGACTTTAGAGAGACCATTTAAATATTACTTTTAAAAAATAATCTATCCAAACACATTGTTAGCTTATTTTGGTTTTTTTATAACTTCCTAAAAGAGCTTTAATTTATTTTTTTTATAAAAAAAATATATTATCAACTTATTTGATTTGTTTAGATAAACTTATCTCCACAAGTAATTATAAGAAGAAATAAAATAGAAGAAAATAGAATATGTAAAAAAATAAAGTAGTTCATGTAAAAGTTTTTACACTAGGCTTGTCTGTTTTTTTTATCATAATTATTTGCCAACAGTCAATTTTGATTGGATAATGTAAAAAAATTTACACTTATTATGCATAATCATTAAATTCAAAATTAAATAATCTTTTTTCTATAAATTAAAATTAGTTTATACATAAATTAAAAATAACTCTTAAAAAATTAATATATTTTTTTGTTATAGATCAGTTTATGAACAAATAAATTTTAATTTTTGATAATTTTTATTATTTTTTCTATAAATTCTTATGAATAAGTTTATCTAAATAAATGATTATTTTTCTACCACGTATAAGGCAGTTTTATGTTAAGCGTCAGTCATCAATATTTAGTATAATTGAATTTAATTATTAGTACTAGGTTAAAAAAAGGTATTTTGCGACTTTATATTTAAAAAAAAAAAAAGGAAGTAAAAGTTAATAGTTAGAAGGTGAGAAGTTATTGAGCTGCTGTAATTATAAGAGTAGCTTTTGAATAGTTTTATAAAGTAAAAAAAAAAAACTAAATAAAAATAATAATGAAAAAAGAAAGAGTAAATTAATAAGTAGTTATAAGAACAAATATCTCCAGAAAATGTGTACATTAAAGGGGTTAATCCCTTTTATTACTAGTATAAACTAGTATAGATGTGTAGAACAGTAATTGGCATACTATTACATTATAGAATATTAGAACTCAAGTATGTATTTGTATTAATTTATTTTATGAAAAAGAATAATTTGACAACATAAAAAAAAAAAAA